TATATGAAAAATGATCCTATAAGCCTAACGGGCTCATAAGAAAAAATGAGCTCAACGACCCAAATCAAATATGGACCGATCTGACTATCACAGATGTTTGATACTGTTTGAATTTTAATTTTTTTTTTTTCAAATCCAAATCACCTGAAATTTTAGGCATGTGTTCTTTTCATCAAGTCGCACTAAGATGTATACACCCTCCGAATTTCAGACTAATGCGATTTGTAGAAAAAAAATGAAATATGAAATACTACCGGACAATCGTGACCATACGATGAACTTTAAAAGATGATGAAGTTAAACGAAATCACTATTTACTTTTTTTTTTTTTACTTCATATAAGCCTAAACCCTTATCAATTAAAGTAAGGTGCTCCTTGAAATAATGTCAAAGTATGTTGTTTCAGTACTAGAAATCATAGTGATGGCCTGAAAAATTTATTTTCATCTCTAGTTATAAAATTTATAGCTTTAGAAAAGTATAGATGGAACAGAGCTATGAATACTTGAAAATTGACAATCCAGATACATCACAAGATGTATTATTTCCTAAACTTGAAATCCATGTTTTTTTCATATCCATATATTTTGAGATTAAGATGACCCATTTGAGGTTTTTGGGCAGCCTCTTCTAGTGAATTTTTGAAGTGCGCCTTAATTTGATTGTTTAGAACCTCAGAAGTACCCTATTGCCACCTTAAGTTGGTATTGACTAGGTTTCCAAGTGTAAACTGGGATTTAGTACCCGAAAATTTGGCACGAAAGTGAATGCCTCATAAATATGTGCAAGGAATTGCTCTATATCATTTTTGGTGCTGTAGAGTGCTCAAAAAACCAAAGCCCCATTGGTTAAAATTGCAACATCTATGATGTCCTGTACTGGTTTATTCTAGTCTACCCTAACAGAAACAGTATGGAGAAAAACCATATCCTAAATTTAGAAGGAAAAAAACAATTATGAGATCTGCAGTGAATGCGGACTATTCCATCTGAGTAGATTCTGCTATTTATAACATATGTATTTCATGCATTTGAGGACCCTTGCTCAAAGACGTAAAAAGAAAAAATGAACCTCAGTAACCAGATAAGAATTAGGGCTTGCAATAGAAACAGCAAAGAACTTATAGAAATGCTCAACTACCATGCCACTAGCACAGAAGAAGTAATGATCAAATCTGGAAGTTACATACTGATTTGGAAAGGCACTGAACCAGATCAAATCAGCTATTGAATAGCTAAGATGATGAACAATTTCCAATAGGCTGTAACTTTTAGATGATGGCTTTGAAATAAGGGTTTTATGTATGTCATCTAAAACTTTTCAGAAAATTGGAATACTCTTTCAAAACAGAACCAAATTAAGACCAAGTGACATTCTTTAGGATTACATACAAAAAATTAAAACAAGCAGAATCAAGCAAAGAAGCATAGAAACGAAGAACTAATATTGGACCTTCATTTCATATTCAAACTAGATACCCTAGTGACTTAGAATCAAGCAAAAGACAACTTAATCAAAACTTTTAGGCTCGTCTATACGCTCCCCAAACCATGCAGACACTATCAGGACCGCATTTGGGTCATGGCACATTCATTGTTGGAGCAGTACCTTTGGGGGCCATTTAATAACCCAAGTAGGTGTCCACCCACCAACAAAATGACGCTACTTCGTGATTTGTGACTGAGATGAAAACTAACAATAACAATGGGCATGCACCTCACAAATTTGCAGCCTCTATTAGTATGCCAATCACATGTTGATCAAAACATAATTCAAACTGAGGTTCAATCTCTTAGCATTAAGAAGAGCACCACCATAAGAATAATTCCTTCAAAAATAGCTTAGGATATTACAAGTCACAAGCATACACCAAAAGAAAGCAGCATCGACAAAAAGTAGCAACCTAGAGTTAAGGGAAAGAGCAACAAGCATAACAGTGCTAGGTGAACATTAAGAGAAGAGAATAAGACAACAAGGATAAGCAATCCCATGCAACAAGCAGCAAAGCTTAAGTACGACAGAGTGTGCAAGAATTGTCAATATAGGCCTGAGGAAAGCAGAAAAGGAAGCTTCAAGGGTGCACATTGCGCACAAGCATGCGTACAGTACCGAAATTTTTGGAAGTAGCAATATTCATAGAGCATTCGGACCAATGCCAAAGAATACAACGTCAACTCCTAAACCATCCCCAGTAACTCCTAAACAGATAACCATTCAAAGCATATAACTCTCAGCATGTGGAATAGGAGGAAATTAAAAAAGATAAATTTTCCAGTGCACTACATTCAGAAACAGAGACAGACAATGTTAAGAATCAAACTAAAAGCTCAAAAAGCTTCATCATGAGATTTTTTTTTTTTTTTTGATACAAAGCTAAAAGTTTCACCAACCTGAATGCATATCAGCAGTCGGAAAGGAACACAGGGAAAAGAAAAACCCCATCACTCCATCACAGCCATCCCGCCCACAGCCTTAATCTTCTCTATTATATCATTTGCCTCCTCCTTCGTACACCCTTGTTTCAGAAGAACAGGAGCCTTCTCAACTAGTTCCTTGGCCTCCTTTAAGCCTAAATTAGTAAAAGCCCTAACCTCCTTGATCACCTTTATCTTGGATGAAGCATCAAATTTTTCAAGCTTAACATCAAATGCAGTCTTCTCAACCTTCTTCTCCTCCACCTTTGCGGCTGAACCAGAAGCAGCAGGACTTGAAACCATGGCATCAGAAGAAAGCTCTTGAATCTTAGGTCCCCTAAGCTTCTCCCTAAGATAAGGGCCAACTTGCCTGAGCTCGTCAGGAGAGAGACTAGCGATTCGATCAGCTAAACTAATGACTTTATCAGAGGGAGGAGGTCTAGGCCCAAAGGGATCATAGAAAGGGGGAAGCTTGTATTTCTTCGGCTTTGGCTTGGAAATGGGCTCTATTGTAGAGAGAGGGGGGCTCCGATGATTGGCCTTTGGCCTGGCCTTTGCTGTAGAAAAGAGGCGAGAGAAAGTTGCAGAGGAAACCCTAGAGTGGAGCAATTGGAGCCTCATGGTGGAGATAGGGCAAATGATTCCAATTAAAAGGAGTCTATAGACAATGTCAAGCACAACCTCAGTTTAATTAAGTTATCTACTCATGAAAAAAAAGAACGAATATGATGAACTCTAGCCATAAAGGAATCAAATCAAATAAGCATAGATCAGAAACAAAAATATTAAATAAGAAGGAATAACCAAAACCGCTTCTATAACCAAGAACCAAGCCAATTAAAAATATATTGGCCTGCCATCTTCCTGAAACCAATTGTATATTCAATCTATTTATTCAAAACAGGCGAACTAAAGTCACCGTAAGTAGAATCCCTATCAAGGAGGCCACCAAGAACCTCTAATCACCCCGAATGAATCAGGAAAAAAAAAAGACGAAAGTGAACACCAAGAACCTCTAATCACCTGGTAAGATGCAATCATGCCAAGAAGGAACTCAAAATAACTCAGTAAGATGCAATCATGCCAAGAACCTGTAATTTTAATACACATGCTGCAAATTAACTCAAAATATGCCAAGAAGAAAAACATGAAATACCTAACTCGAGTAAGATGCAATCTATTAACAAATATCACAAGACCAAATCACTTTGCTTTACCTACTAATGTCTGAAAGAAGAAAAACATGAAATACCTCGAGAAAGATGAAGAACACAGATCAGAGCTCAATAGGAAGGATCAGAGCTCAAAGAAGAGATAGAGAGAGAAAGATTACGAAGAAAGATTATGAAAATCAGAGTCAATAGCATACCTCAAGATCAATAACACAGAGAGAATAAGAGCTCTTTGCTTCAAGAACTCAAAAACAAACACAGAGAATAAGAGCTCTTTGCTTCAAGAGCTCAAGAACAAACACAAAGCACAGATAGAATAAAGTCAATAGCATACCTCAAGATCAATGACAAGATTAAAAAAAAATCCTTTCTTTTTACAATTTTACACTAGTAAAATCCAAAACTTCACAAATTGTGATTTTCATGGGAATTTCAGGGAAAGGAATGCCTAATGGTAGTTTAGGGAATAGATATCAAGAAAGGATAGACAACAAAAACAGACAACTAAATTCAAGATAAACAGAAGAAGTGTCAGAAAACGAGTCATCATCTGATGCATCGAAATTCAGCACAGAGAAAACTAGAGTAAAATGCATGTTTCCTCTGCATTACAAAACCTAGAGTACATAAAATACCCAAATAGAAGAAGAAGAAAACTGAAGAGAGTCTAAAGATAAACCCTAAGTCCAAAACAGGAGAGCTAAACAAAACTGAACCATCAATACTAGAACACAATAAACCCCAGAAAAAATAAGATGGAAATGTAAGAAAGAAAAGCTTTAACCAAGTGAAAACAACTAGAAACCCTAGAAAAAAAAAAAGGGAACAAGAAAAACCTAAACCGCCTAAAAAGAAAAACCCAGAACAGTTGCAGATAGATGGAAATAATCAACCAGCTGTTGAGATTATAGGGTACCATTCAATTAGAAGAATAAATAAAAAAAAACAACAAATTGGACGGTTAAAAAAGAAAAATATACTCACTAAAACCTCTGCAAATTACAAAATTGATAAAAGGGGTAAAGATGAAAACCAGACTTGAAAACACCAACAATATCTAAATAAGAAAACAAAACGAAATGGATAATCAAGCCCTCCAAAAAAATCACAATACAACAAATCATCCATCTCAAAAAGTAAAAACAAAAAAATCTCAACAACCCAAAAACCAAAACAAAACAATCGTAATCCCCAACCTCTAAAACCCCAAAAACAAAAACCAGAGCTAGAGGGAGAATCAATACTAAATACCGCTTATTGGGTATCAAAATATTAGCAAGAAAAACCCAAATGAACATTTTTCAGAGGAGATTAAGTAATGTAAGAAGAAGTACCCAGTAGAGTTGCAGGCAAGCTCGCTCCTAGCTCGTTCCTCCCAACAATATGGAAATAGAGAACAGATAGAGAATATTGAGAGAAACAGAGAGTAGAGAGAGAAACAGATATGTTGGCAACTTCTGATGCTGATGCCCACAATACACAGAATCGATTCACAGAGAATCAAGAGAGAGAAAGAGTAAGACGATAGAGAGAGAGAAAGAAGAGTGAGAGAGAGATGCCTGTTGGAGGGGGGGGCTCAGAGGCGAAGATGGGAAGCTGCGAACAAAGGGGTGCTCAGCAGCGAAGAGAAGAGAGCTCAGCGGCGAACAAGAGAAAAGAGGCTAGGGTTACCGGTAGGAAGTTACGAACTAGTTCCGACCTTTGGGTCTGAACTTTTTTTTTTACAAAGGCTTCTTCTTGTTTTTTATCAAACATGAAAATTGAACAGGACCAAGAAGTTCTCAACTTTCAGGAAGACACTTCCTGTTATCAAACACGCTATGAAGGTTTTTGTCGAGGCAAAATATATTTAATTTTGGGACCTACGTGTAGGTAGTTGTGTCATCATGTCCACTAGCCCGATTCATTGTAGCATATCACAAAAATCGGATATTCTTCTCTAGACACCCTCGATTCATTGTAGCATATTGCTGAGAACCAACAATTCTTCTCTAGACATGCTCTCGTGGTCTGTATTATACTCGAATCGACACGGAATAACTGATTCCCATGTAGACTCGAGCGAATCCATTTTGACTCACCAGTTTTTAAACCACTACCTTGAAGTAAAGACGCTCAAAAACCATGAAGGCTTTTGCAGCTGCTTAAGAGAGAAGCTTTTCAACAATTATAAGACGTTGTTTTTCTTTGAACAAAAATATCATAATCACTTCTAGCCGTCAGATTTGAAATCGAATGACCAGTAATTGACTTCGTTTTAATCAAGAAATTTGCAATGGATTTTATAGAGACACACACTAGTCATCCGATTTTAAATCAAACGGTGGAAATGACCTCCATGCCCAACATAAAATCCACAACTTCTTTTACTTTTTGTTTGATAACTGGAAGCAAGTTCATGAACTGTAACTTGGAGGTTTCTGAAGAACTATACATTAGTAGTTCCTAAGAAAGTTCATGATTTCTGTGTTTGACAACATCCTTGGGAATTTAAGAAGTTCATGGTTTCTGTGTTTGATAACCTCCTGGGAACTTAAGAAGTTCCTGGTTTCTGTGTTTGATAACCTCTTGGGAAGTTAAAGAAGAACTGGGCATCTGTATTGGATTAGCTTTAAGTAATAAGCAAGATGTAAATGTTAAAATTGAGACCTAAATATTATTTATTTTTTATTAATTTGTAGAATATTATTTTTTGGAATACAATATCAATTGAAAGTAAAATGGAATATTATTTTTCTGTAATAACTTGAGCACTACTTACATTCACCACTGATGCATCCATATCCCAACCTAAAAAATATACGTCATTCACAACTCAAAAATATACATCATTCACAAGTCATGCACATAACATTTGTGTGTTCTCTCTCTCTAAGATTATAATGGCACACAACATTTGTATGTTATCTATTAAGGCATTTGTGATGTATGTCAAGCAACATTCACAATTCATGAATCCATATATAACCATGTACAAAACCAGCCCATTCAACAATAACCTGTAATACTTTAAACATACATAATTGAAAATGCAAGTAGTAAGAAATCAGCCCATTCAACAATAACCTGTAATAACTTGAGCACTACTTACATTCACCAGTGAAAATCTGCTATCCTATTCAAATATGCAATTTGAATAAGTACTTGTGAATTGCCTCAACACCTTGGCAAGTGTTCTGTAATATTACAAGACGCAATTGAGTCAAGCCTCTTTTTATTGGTTAATCAATAGATTCAACCAAATTGATCCTGTATGACTCAGCTCAGGAACCTACCAAGCCAAGCTGAGTCACTGATCAGAGGTAAAAGGTCAAGTCTTTGGAATTTTTAAAGCCTTGTTGATAAATACAACTAAAAAGGAAATGTGATGTAGCTGGTCTATCAAAATCAAGAACATGTCATGAAATAACTGTAACAATAACATGGCAATAATATTAAGAGACAAGTGAGATAAAAACGGAGTTCTGTGTGCTGATAATTTGATATAAGGAAAGGACTTGCAAGATTAGATACTCAAAAATGATAATAATAATAATTACAAGGTTAGAAAATAAAACAAAGTGAAAGGTATCTAACAACCAAATTCAAAGTGGTCCAAGTGCTCACATTCCATTCTCGTCCTGAATAATTTTTCAATCAATAAGCTCTTTTATCAATTCGTTTGCTGTCACTGCATCTTAACTGAAGAATGTCGGTTTTGCAGAACCTGTCAGCATGAAGCTTCCTTTAGGTTTAAAATACTATAAGAAAGTATCATACAAAGAGAGTAGTAAATCGTAATGCACAAGAAAGAGCATCTAGAAAGCGATAAATATAAGTAGGAACTGTGCAATTATCAAAATCCTTGTGCATATTCAAAACTCTTGCGCATATTGAAAGATAGCAATGAAAGATAAAATGTCTCAAGGATCTATACAAAACTTGTCTCAAAGAGTTCCAACAAAACAAAATCCATAACCTTAGCAAAGAAAATTGTGGACAAAGATTTTCAGTACACTTTAGAAAATAAAGAACAGAAAAAGGGCAACTGATATGCTTCAATTGTTTATTTTACCATCAATTTCAAATCACCCAATTAAGTCATAGACACTTTTTAGGGGTACCATTTCATTCGTAAAAAAAAATATAAGGACCTTGTACGTTAATGCTAAACATGAACTCGTCCAAGTTGAACTACATGTGAACAACACATGCCAGATGTCAGACCTTCTAGTACTAATTTCAACACGAAAATAAAAGACAACCTAAGACCATGAACCAAATTACTGCTAGAATGCAAGCAATCCATCTTATTTAGCATCAAGGGTTCGCTGCAAAACAAAATAGAGGCCCTCAAAAAGGATGATAGTATAGCAGATAATATTCCAAATTATTACCTTCATCTAACCTACACCTTGAACAATTATGAGAAACCATGTGAATATGATGCTGTATAATAACAATCAAAGAACAAAGATAAATGAACTTTTTTCGTGTTAGATAGATAGAGAGGTGGATTTCATATGGAAAAAACTCTTACATATTTGATCATTTAATGACATGACAAACCTTAAAAGTAATACAAAAGAAAATAACATCATATTGAGTAGAGGAATGATAACCCCAAAAAAGCAGTCCAAGCACAACTTAGTTGCCATCTTTTTTCATTTCTTTTTCTTTTTTTTTTAGTCATACAAGACATTATTCTAGATTATGAGGCACATGGCTTAATACATGGGCATATGATTGCCACATCATTGCTTTTTGTGAATAGCAAGATCTACCATAGAACACAATACACTTTGTTCTTTAAGTCAAGAATCCCTTAACTCCTACTTGATATGGCCATGTATCACTAGGATTGATGCAACAGAATATTTAGCGGGATACTGAAGAGATCATGTTTCTTAATATGAATAGACAAACCGCATTGCATGGTTCGTCAATAAGCCAAATGTAATTAAGGGATACAAAATGCAGTGGTCATAGAGAGACATGATAAAGCAACATACCAATAAGAGCTACTAATCCAAAAAAGGAAAAAAAGAATCCCCAAGAGCTCAAATGAATAGTTAATGGGATTCCCCCTCCCTAAAGTGTGCTAAAGATCAATTTTGATGGAAGCTCCAAGGAGCCCTAGACCAGCAAGATTTGGGGGCATCATTTCTGATCCTAAGCCAAAATCATCAAGCCAAGTTTTATTGGTCTGAGTCACACTTTTATACGAAATTCTTTGAATCCCAGACTATCAAAAGTGCTATTTTAAAATATATCAGTGGCACGACAGTCAGTGCTATGGAGAGTCCATTAGCTTATCGAAACAGGTTAGAGGTCACTGCTGCATAAAATGCTACCCATTAAAAATTATATAACCATTATATAATTACTCCCATATAATTACTATTTTGTTTTACTATTAATCATAATTATATAAAATTACATTTTATGCCGCAGAGTTCAAAAGATGAATGCTATTTCACATTCTAAAATCAGCATTTACAGCCTTTAACAAGAGATTTATGAATTGGGTAGCTATAATCACAGAAACATAGTTATGTGATACATGTGAAGTTTTATCGTTTAGTTGCAAATATCAGCATTTTAGGTTAAATTGAAGTGTTAAAACCAAGCAAACCCAAATCCCTCTCTTGCAATAACTATATTGAGATCATGCAACCCCACTCTTCACTCCACGAGAATAGAGCGATAAATTACTGAGCACACAGATAATCCAACACAACAACGTGTTCTTCGATGAGGAAGACATCACGATAACACAAATCATCAGACAAGAAATCTCCAAGAAGAATGTCATAAAGATACTTATAAAGCTATAATAACAGGAAATCCCCAAAAAAATATTAACTAAAATGCCACAAATCTCATGACTTCTCCAAAACCAGCCCAAAATCACATAAATTGGCAAAAACACATCCATTAATAAACATATCTCGAAAATCAGGGGAAACAATACAGAGATTCAAGAACGAACAAAACCCTAGCAAGAGAGATAGGTTTACAGAAAAAAAAAAAAAACCAATACCTGGAGCTGATGTCAATGACGGATGGGAGGTTGGTGATAGAGAGAGAAAGAGATCTAGAGCTACACAGCTAGATGGAGAGAGATACAGAGAGAGAATAAAGTAGTTCTGCGGAGAGAGATGAGAAACAAACCCATTTTCTAGAAATGGAAAGAGAGAGAAAGAGAGGAGAGAGGTAGTTGGTGAAGCAGGCGAGGAGGCTCTGTGAAGAGGGATGCTGGGAGGTTGACGAGGAAGGAAGAAGAAGCGGCTGAGTGCAGCCAATAACAGAGGAGAGGGATGGCTCAGCGAAAGGGCTCTGGCTGATGGCGGCCTGCTGCGAAGAGAGGCACAGAGCAAACTTTCGTGGGTGAAGTTTTATAAGAACTTCCCATTTCAAGTTAGGACCTTCTGGTCGGAACTTTTTTTAACACAATACTGAACGGTAAAAGTGACCTGAACAGTAAAGTAAAGTTCCTTATTCAACTTCTATTTTTTATCAAACGTCGAACAGTAAAGTGAAGTTTCCAAGTTCTTAGAAGACACTTCCTGTTATCAAACACGTATAAAGACATCCCGATGTCTCTTAATTACTCAATTTTAGATGAAAATACCATGGAGAAAATATCCAACTAAAAAAATAGAGTAATCAAAACATTATATACTTTCATGCTAGGAGCACACATGATTTTGATCTTTGTAGTGGCTTGTTAATTTCCCTAGCCACTTTGGTGCTCCAATAAATCACTATATAATCCCATATATGACAAATTCAAGATCACTAAGCCATGCAAGAACACAAATCCCAATCTCCAAGAACACAAATCCCAATCTCCAAAAACCCAATTCAATCCAAAAAGGCGTTCAAAAACCCTAAGCATCCAAACGACTCCTATGAAGGCCAGTGCACTGAGGATTAAGAGTAAAAAAAACCTAAAAACCCCAAAGTTCAATAGCTTCCTGTTATACTCAATGACTCAAATAAAGAAAGAGAAAAACCCAAAACTCAAATTAAATCAAACCCTCTATTTTATTTGAAAAAAGTTAAAATTCTTTTTACTTTGATCAATTATCTTACAAGCCACTTTTGATGAAAAAAAATGAGCATAAAATAAAAAAGATAGGAGCCTATAGCCCACAAGGGAAGAGTGGCTACTCATTATGTGACTATGAGGCACACCCAAATGTTGAGCCTTCCTCCTTTTTTTCTTTCATGGCATAAAGAAATTCTGAAGGATTTCATCGTGTCCTCTTATCAATGAGAGTCTACCATGAAATAATACAAGGAATTAGGGTTTTATACGAAATTTTTCTTTAAAAATCCCTCATATAACATTTGGAATTATAATTTTTTATATCTATAAAATTTTATGATTTTGTTTTTTTATTATTATTAGGCAAGAAGGAACATGTTTATCCTTGCAAGATAAGTGTCTTTTGTACTATCAATTTTTCTCTCTTTATTTTTAGCTTTATTTCATTCATTGATAGGAGAGGACGGTGGATGACCAATACATTCCCAATATGAGTATATTTCGCCATTATATGTTATTCACGCTAATACACAAGTAGTTTCACTGGAGTTTTTTTCGTGCCAGGCAATCATTTTGCCATGAGACATACTCCCTTACAAAACATTGACAAATGAAGCTCTATAGTATTTCACTCATAGCTCATTTTCATCAAAAACCCATCAGACGGTCATGATTATTTGACAACGTTTGAAGTTTATATATTTTTATGCAAATGAAATAAGGATGTGTACATCTAAGCATATCGCATAAAATACAATATCAAAAAATAAAGTGATCAAAATACCTCTATCATTTTAATTATTTTTAATATTTTATTTAGGTGTTCCTTATTAATGCCATGCCCACGTAAAATTTAAGGTTAATCAAATTCGCAAAATACAATAAAATTTACAACCTATCAAACAATTGTGACTTTCTGATGAACTTAGGATGATGATGAGCCATAAGTAAAAAAACTGAAGAAATCTACTCATTAGTGTTTGTAACTATTTATGTGTGCGCGTATGTGACTTTCATATCTCTCATATCTATACGACAACTTTCTACCACTTCTACTTCCATTTGATCTTTAATGGAAGAAAAGTTTGTTCAAGGCACCAATCTCATACTATAGAAGTAAGGCCCACCCTTAAAAGAAGAGGTTGTTGGGATACTAGAAAACCCTATAATAATCATTTTTAATTTATATATATATTTCTCGGGTGATTAATAACTCTCCCCTGATTTACATACTGATTACTTGGCACACATGCTCTGCTTTTACATACAGTACACTTACTTCCTCAGACAAAAGAGCTGCTTTGGAATAAATTAACTTGGTCTTGGGTTAAAGATGCTATATATCTTGAGCTGTTGCTTTGCAATAAATTAACTTGGTCTTGGGTTAAAGATGCTATATATCTTGAGCTGCTTTGGAATAAATTAACTGGGTCTTGGGTTAAAGATGCTATATATCTTGGAAACATATGTTTGAGGTTTATCCTAGAGAGTCAATGAATAGTATGCTCCTGGGAGCACGAAATCCTTCTTAATTTCTCTCACTTCTCCTCTAAAGTATGTTTTCTACATGGATGAAGTTCTTTAATATTATAGATACATTATGGCCCTGAGTATGCATATATAAGTTTTGCATGCCAGATTTTGTGAGGAAAATGACATTTGGGAGATTTTCAGGGGTCCATAATCTATTTTTTCATAGCATACTTATGCTCTAATCTTTAGAAGCTAGTGAGCATCTACTCCCTTGGTCAGAAGACCCATTTGATAATAATGTTTTAAATTAAAATTTTGAGAACAAAAAATAGATTATTAGTGTCAAATAAAAAAATTGAATCTTAAATTTTTAGCACTTGATACCACCCTTTAAAAACTAGAGGGTCTCTATCCAATTCATAAGATGTTATTTTCTTCAAGTACATAGAGTGTACAGTAAGAGTTTGTAATAAAATTTAAAGAGCATTGAAACTCTCGATTTGTGATCATTCAATCTCGATATATGAGGGCACTTTGTTTTAGTTATTTCCTCTTGAAAAAGCATTTTCTTAGGTTTTTGCATGCTCTTTTTTTTGTGGTCTCCATTATCATTTTATTCGGGACATGTTTTGATATAGGAATAGTTGGATGGGTCCTCTAAAATAATGGATATTTTATTTTTAAGTTTTATGTAATTTATTATAATGGATATTTTATTTTTAAGTTTTATGTAATTTATTATAATGGATATTTTATTTTTAAGTTTTATGTAATTTATTATGATTTTTCAAGATAGTAAAAATGCACCATGAAAGAGATCTAAAAATTTAAATATACTTACCTGAATTTTTATTTTTTCTTTTTTTTAATAATTTTTATTGTTTTTCGCTTTTTTCTCAAATATTAAAATTTTTTAATTTAATATGCCGATTTGTGTACTTTTCTAGTTCGGCCTATCCAATTAGGCCAGTGCGACGGTGCGCTCACCGGTTCAATATGGAGTTTTTTACGACGGTGCGCTCACCAGTTCAATATGGAGTTTTTGGGAGTGGAAAGGAGTCTCCTATAATTTATAGAAGGCTTCTTTTCTATCAAATGGAAGACAGGTCTTTCAAAAATGAACCTATTTTAACTCTGAAAAAAACCTCCATAGAAGGTCACCTTTCCACTTTATAACTTCCACACAGTGATATTAAACATGGAGTACATTTAACTTCTCACTTCCGAAAACTTCCACTTATCAAACACATTCATGGAGCACCTTCCAAAAAAAAAAAAAATAGAAGGCCAGTCACATGCCACTTTCCCCGCGATGAGCACCAGCCCCAAATAAAATAGAAGGCTAGTAATTACAGACCCGCGTGCTTTTAAACTCAATCCGCCTCTATTTTTTTACCACCATTTTCAAGAAAGAAATGATTTTTGCTGGCATCAATGAAGAGTCTTAACATCTCAGATCTGAGAATTTTCAGATGAAAGAGGTACTATACTTTTTCTTTCTTTCTTTTTTGTGGTTTCCTGCTGGTAAATTTTAGTTATTTTTTTAGTGTTGATTCTTTTCAACTCTCCCTCATGCTCGTACAATTTGATTCATGCGTTAGATTTTTCTTTTTGATAATGTTTCTTTGGTTAATATGTAGTTCTGCATGTATATGTATTTTGTTACAGAGAATACTTTCTTGCTGGAAATCAATTGGGATTTATCATTTCTTTTTAATGCCGAAACAACTTTCATGCTAACTTCTATAATCGATCTTCAACAAATATTTGCAATTGTTCTTCATTTCTATTTTATGGATTGATTATTGATTTCTATCTTCAAATCCTATAATCCTACAATTGATCTTTAACCTGTTGTTTTCCTGTGATTTATGTACTTGGATATTTTGTTTCTGATTTCTTTGGTTGAGAAAAAACCCATGGTTATGATGGTTGAGGATATTATGGAATAATTGGTTTAAAGATGGATTAACCATGGTTGAGGATATTATGGAATAATTGGTTTAAAGATGGATGTCCTATTTCTTTTTCTTTGATCATGCCGATGAGTTCTTGGTTGAAAAACTTCTAGATGAACATTTTAACCATTTTCTATTTATTTATTGTGATGAATATACATGGATGCATGTTTTAACAATGATTATTTTTTATTTGTTTTTTTTGTTGCTATTGTTTGTTCATAGCAATATGAGATATGTGAGGATTTGTAAGCTCAAATATTTGAAGTTTACATGATACTAACGTCACACCTCTATGTCCTTGAATAATGTTTTACATTCTTGATGTTATTCAAGCTTACACTTCATGACGGTTAATCTGTGTAGAGTGGATTTCTTCCATTAATGATCTTAATATGTAAATTGGTCTTTCGGTCTGGTTTTATTGATGCTGGTGAGAAGTATTCCTACATAGGTTGATTCGGGGTGATCAATTGAATGGAGGAATAATATACAAAAGTTTTGGTTGATTGAGTTAAAATGAACAGTAGAGTGATTCACAAATTTTTTGATTTCATGAGAATATTGGAGTGATTCATAGTGCTTTGGTTTAGTGAGATGCATTTATCAGGGGAATTCTGAAGTTTGCATGAATTACGGTCATGGGATGCATATGTGAAAAAACATAGTAAATGCTTGTAACATTACACTAATAATGTGAATGATCTTGAGAAATTACAACGTCGGCATACATATTGTTGATCTTGTAATGGTTTCTCTACTGATCTCTACCATTCCAAAACATACCTTCAATTGATCCCAAGGTTGCCAAACTCATGAGGACAAAAAATGTGAGGCCATAGTGTTCTCTGCATATGCTGTGGCCATTGCAGTGGCGTCCGCTGTCGAGAGACCACCTCGTAATGAGTATGTAATTGGTGCTCGAATGTTCCAAGATTTGGTAATCAACACGACTGCGATCCATTGGCGCATATGTGTGTGTGTATAAATATTTCCTATAGCAAGTTCAGATGTTTTTCACAAGTTGTACAGAAGCTTGAGCTCTCAAAATATGAGCTGAGTATGATCATAATAGATGACTCCATACAAATTATAACTGACATGGGATCTGATTACTATTATCCTGCAATCATAAGTTTCCTACAGTGATCTTATAATGTTCCTATGAATGTATCTAACTTTTGTCGTTTTACTATCTAAATCCCATAGACCTAAATCACATAGATCTATCATCTATCTATATCCTCAAGTTTTCTGGTATTACTATGCAAGCATCTATCATAATTTACATAAATCACATATATTGTAACTTTTGCTGTCTTACTATTTAAATCACATACACTTGTCCTACAACGGTTAGATATATCGATATCACAAAGATTGCCAATTTTATAATGCAGGGAAAGTGTGGTATTGATCTATCCAAATCCTTTTAAAATTGCATCACTTGCAACTTTTTTTATCACATATCCAAATCACATTGGATCATCTTAGAATATTTATTGTCATTAGCTCTAACTTCTGTTGCCTGATCTATTACAGGCTTGCTGAAATCAAATTTTGTGGGTCCAAGCTTGAAACCTATAAAACAACAATAAAGCTTGATATACTCTCCAATATATATATATATATATATATATATATATATATATAAAACAAGTGAAACCCAGTATTTGCTTGACAAGTTGTCCTTTTTTTGCTGCTTGTTTTGTGTGTGTGCGTGTGTGTGTGATGGTCACTGGCCTAGGTTGTTTAAATGTAAATTTTGTTGCAGAAACAATGCTAAGTATATTTTCCCAATAATTTTGTTTTTGTTTTGCTTTACAATACGGTCCCTAAATCCTTTTGCTGCAATTTTTGCTATGAATGATTAGGAACCAGGTTTCTTTGATGTAACTTTCTGCAGAAACATTCTCAGTAACCCATGTTTGTGATGTATTTTTTTCCTGGGTTCCTGAGAATGGTCACGAACACTGTTGTTTTGATATAATTTTCAACCAAAACATTCTGGTATGAATTGCCAGGAACCAGGTTCTTTAGAATGTAGTTATGTAATTATTTTCTGCATTTATTTTTCCTTTTTTTTTTTACTCTCTGCCTATGTTTTGAATGGCTGTCTGCTGCTTTTTATTTATTTATTTATATTTTTTGTTGCTGAATTATCAATTGCCTATTTTTTTTCATTATATGGATTTACTTTTGCCCTTGGTTTTTGCTCTGATTTCTTTTTGGTTTTTTGAGCAATTCAGTGTTTGCTCTGATAATTTTTTCTTTTGTTGATTTTAATTAGCTCTTTATCTGAAGATTTTTCTGCTAAAATGTTTTTTTCGGCTGAAAGTGTACCCCTTGAGTTTTTGTGGATTGTTTTCTTTTTATGGATGAATGGATGTTAGAATGGTCACTGAATGCCAATAATAGCTATTGGTTCTTATAATAATAGTGAAATTTTTTCTGCTAAATTCTTTGCAAAGCTTGTTGACTGAAATATTGTTAGTTCGCATTTGAATCCTTTTCTTGTTTGACTCGACTCTAAAGTTTGGGTTTGTTTAGCTGCTGCTAACTTGCGATGGGTGTAATAGGTTGGTTGAAATTCAAATCTCATACGTTTAACAATTATTATCTTCTTGTCAATGAAAACTACGATGATGAACGGTTAAACTGACTGATTTCCAGACTGTAGGTTTGCAAAACCCCAGGTTCAACTAAACACTGATTTCCAGACAGGTTGCCAAACATAGTATGTGTCTCTACCATGTATCCAAATTCCCAGCATCCAAATCTCAGAAGTAGAAATTCCAGCTTCCATTTCCAGCTTCTAGTTGCCCAACTGTATTCTAGCCAAACCGGTTACTCAGCAATAGTATAAAAGAAAGATTCTGGTTTGGAACCTGAAGTTTTAAACCAATAATATTTTTTTAAAAAAAAAAAAACTCAAAAAAGACACAAGCTTAAAGCATGAAATATTTGTTTAAGTTCCTCAAATTAAAGGGGTATAATAACATAAATTTCCCTTATTTTCAAAAATAAAAAAAGGAAACCATAACTATATTCTGCTTCTTCGTTTCTTTTATTGAAACCTAACTTTCCAGGGTCTTAACCAGGGCCAAACATCTATTGTCCAAGGTTTCCAAAGCTCGCATCCGCTTTATGATTAATAGAGTTCCTTACTATTTCCCACCCAAGATGATGACATTGACCATTAGGGCGAACTTGATAATTGAAAAGTAGAGATGCTTTACAATTCTCAAAAAAATAAAAGGAGAGATGCTTTCTTATTTTTTTTCCGTATTTCAATTAAATTATCAATTAATGTGTATGACGTTTGCTAATTTTCAGTCAATAGTAATTTATGAAATGGAGTGCTACTGAAAGCTCATTCTCGTATGCTTGAAGCTTGGCCACAAAATATGGAAGAAATGGCACTCCTAGAAGCAATCCGTAATTTGTATTAGCCTTCTCATTCTTAGCCAGTAAACATTTAAATAGCAAGTCGTTTTTATGACACTTACAACTAATATTCTAATAAGATATCCATTTTTTTTCTTTGGTTACTTTATTAGTGTCTTTTTCTTTGGTTATTCTATTAGTGTATAGCATGAACTTCTGTGTAATATTTGCTTTTATGTAGAAAAACATTCTCTCATTGCAGACTTGGTTTAATCCTTTTGTAGAATGGTATGACATTAACTGTATTTTGTAATACTTGATCATGTGTTGTCAAATATTTTGAGTCCTATTAAGTTTGTCTATGGAATAGATGCTAGTGAGGTTGGGTGTGGATGTGCGTGTCTTAGGGATGGAGAGAAAGACTGGTAGAAAAAAGAGGAGAGTTGGGGGGGTGGGGGGGAGGGGGAGAGAGGTGGTAACAATTCCTGACTACTTGGCTCAATCAGGGCAGCATACATGTCAAAACTGGCAATACAATAGTAGTGGATTAGCCAGTCAGGTGCTGTGAAAGATAGCTCAGATATCCAAGTAGTGTGTAAAGTTGGTCAGTGCTAGTTGTCACAGATACATGTTGACTGCCTAAGGTTTTGGTTCCTAGTGTAGGCTGAAACACCAATTACCTTCAGCATTATGCCTTCCTCCTCACTCTTGGCTGTACCCATATTATTTTTCAAGGGTGGTGTAGCTCTGTTTTCTATACAGGGTTGACTGTCTTAAGACAAATCCTTCCTACTACTTCTCCTTCACCAACACTCCCTCCTTCTTCTTGGCCCTTCTTGTGCTCCAGCAGGGCTGGTGCCTTTGTTTGCTTCTAATATCGTATTTTTAAAGCTGTTCCATTTTATAGTAATACTGTCAGCTTTTCTCAAAAAGGGAGGAAAAAAAAGAAAAGGAAAGAAAAGAGCATTGATATGACAATTGTTGTAAGGTGTAGCTAAGTTGGCCTGGAACTTAACTCTTCATTCTTTCATGTACGTGCAGGATTTTGAATTGTGTGCAAGAGGTCCTAACCATGGTTCTAGACAGCTTATCATCTCCCCATAGGAGAACACAAAATCTGATTTCATTCTTAACTTCTTACAAGAAACCATTTACGACGCGCGACTTTGATGGTTGGGCAAATCTTTTTCAGCGGCACCGCTTTCTCTTGACCATGCTCGCTGTCTTGGGCTTTCTATGCACCGTCTATCTTTATTTTGCCGTCACCTTGGGGCCCACAGTATCATGTTCAGGCTTGAACGGGGCCAAGAAGTCATTGTGTGAATTGGAGGGGGCAAAATCATCTATGTCCCACAAAGGTAAGTTGAGATTCTTTTGATTATGATTTGGAACTCCATTGTTTCTCCCTTAAGATCTGTTTAGGAATTATAGTTAGATATTTATGTATTTTGGATATTGGGGGTATTGATCGGCAAATATCCCTATGTCACTTAATTATTTTTATGTCAAGATACTCCTATATGTATTTATGGAGGTTTGGCCTTGGAAGCTTGTAATTGTTTTGTTATGGTGGTTTGGATGTGAGGAATGTGTCAATGAATTGGGTCATAATTGGATCATACTAACCTGATCGAATTATGTAAGATGAGTAAACAACCTGACCACTGGAGCGGATGGAAAAGTCACAGAAATGACTATGTAACTAACTTGAATGTGGTGGATTGAGTTCCCTATGATTTATTGGATACCATTCGAGTTACCCTCATCCTTTTGGTCATTTTGCAGTGTATCTGGGCTCTGGATGAGTTGTAGTTTTCCTCACCGTTCATTCGGTACTCGCCAATCTGATGGTATATGGTTTCAGGCAGAGGTGGTCGGGGTGGTAGGTGCCCCAACATAATATCTAGAGTTCTATTATCACCAGGTTGTAAATTAATATTAAAAAAAAATAAAAGGGAATGTAGGTTTTTGTTGGAAATGTATCAAAGAAAATGAAATACTTTTTGCAAAAATACTATTAATCCGAATTAATTGGATTGATACGAAGGCCCAATGTTCTTCAAATGTAATGTACATTTGATTAAAAAACTACGATCACACCTGAAAATCTGACATTGTAAATGAGGTCAAAATATTTTGAACTTTTTCTGGTCCATGTATTTATTCCTATATTTTATATCAAATTTGGTTGCATTTGTAGTATCTTTCGTGATCGACCTTAGCCTATGTAACTGTTCTGTTCATTAAAATTGATAATATTGCAAGGTGTTGTGTGCTAAGCAAGCATTTGGATTGTAAGCAATATGACAGTCCCGATCGTGGGGAAAAATTATGTGTAGTTCATGTTCTTAAAAGTCTTAACTCTAAATTATACTTTTCATTCTTTGTCGTATGATTATGGGAAAATTTTCAACAACAGATTAATCAGAACACGAAAAGATTAATCAAATCGCGAAAATGGATTACAAGAAAGAAGAAATATGCTAAATACCATATGCTAGATATTATACTACATGTTAAGTACATAATAAACATCATGTTGTGCGGCAATCAATCTAACGTTGAGATGAGCCAATGAGGGATTAATCTAATTAAAATTGATATGACTGCTAGTTAAGTAGGTTAGAAGGGATTTAAAAATAGAGTAATGATCGTGTGAGACCCTCCCCTATCCCAACTGTTATGAGACACCCACTTATGGCTGTAGGATTCTCATCCACATCTCGAGAAAAAAGGAATGCAAGGTCACTCAGTTAACTCATAAAAGTCACAAGAGAGTGATTGCTTATCCCAATTTCCTGCATCAAGCTCTTCAGGTGAGGTTTTTTTGGTGGATTTATCACGAGAGATGCAGCTGAAATTCTGATTAGGTTTTAAAGAGAGCTAAAATTTTAGAAGGATTTTAGAGAGGCAATATGAGAGCTAAAATTTTGAAAGGGTTTTAAAGAGAGCTAAAATTTTGAAAGGAATTTAGAGAGGCAATATGAGACTGATGGAAAAAAACATAAGAGATACACAAATGGTAAGCAAATGATGAGAGAGAGGGAAAGATCCAAATGGTGTTAGCTTGAGAGAGATCCAAATGGTGTCAACTTGTCTAATAATACGAAACCAAATGTAAAAATCGAAAGAGCTACACAAATATTAAGCTGAAGAAGATGATGATGGGAGAGATCTAAATGATGTTGGCTATAAAGCCATTTGGGTGTGTCAAAGTTTGAGAAGAAAGTGAAGTTCTCATGGACTCACTCTTAGAGAGAGAATGGGGAGAGAGGCTCTCTATATTTGACTTGCAAACTTACGAAAACCAAGTACCTACGATGATTATATAGGAAGGAGGAGGTAGGAGGGGAGGGGAGGGGAGGGGAGGGGAGGGGGAGGGGGAGAGGGAGGGGATCTATGGGTTACAACTCATGAAATACTATAAGTTACATTTAGAAATAGGTGTATACTATAGAAAGTTTAAATCAGGTTGCAACCTTATACTATAGAAATACGGCGTACCTAAAAAATAAGTACAAAAGAGTGTTTCGAAGTTGCAAAACTGTGCAATTAATCATCTTGATCTCAAGATGTACGGCTATTAAGGAAAAACAAAATTTAATCCTAAAAATAGTGCATCTTCTAACAAGTTATATGTGCCCTCTATCTTCAACATTTTCAAATATTTATAGATCTGCTCATTCTATACTATTTTGAAAAGTTCAAATTTCATAATCTTGGCCGAGCACGGATTTTCAAGCCATTGTAAGCATTCCAACATGAAAACTACATTTTCTAATAAAATTTAAAGGTGTGCCTTACTTGTATAGTATAAGGCAGCACCTTATACAAACCTCACCCTTTACTTTAATTGCTCATTCATTTATTCCATAACTATAATACCTTTTTTAATGACAAAGATGTCCTTGATCAATTTATAATCATGGAATAAAAAAAGTGACAAATTTTGATAGTTCATATGTTTTACTAAATGTAATTTACTGTAACGGTCAGGTAATGGGCATACAAAATCCACTCCCTATTTTAAAAACAAAGACATGATCCATTAACTTTAAAAGGTTTAAGAAATCGGATCCAATATATAGGAAAAAAAACGGGGCTTAATTGGTTAGTACTTGACAATTTGCAAGGTTACATATAGGACCCTCTCCCCCACTGACTCACCTAAAAAAAAATATCATAATCCAATAAATACTTGAAAATCAATCAAATTTGCAGTAAGAAATCTGGAGGTGGTACGTTTATAAATGTACAAGGAGGATGAGTTGTGTAAGAATTGGTTGATGCATGTACTTCAGGAGAACAATTGATTGATGTTATAGGCAAAAATCAAGTTAGCTACAATGTCATTGTCTCATGTAATACCTCAAATTTACACCATCATACATTTATGGAATATAACTTACTTTTTATTTATTTTTTTTAATAAAAATTATAAAAAATTATGACCTCTTTATATCAAAAAATAAATGGTCTATATAAAAATAAAAGTAAATGGTCTCATTGTACACAAACCCTTTTGTTTTCTATTTTTTTCCATCAAGATATCGTCCTACACAAACCCTTTCGTTTTCTATTTTTTTGCATCAAGATATCGTCCGTCGTCCCTTAACGACACGAACTGTTATTTTTTATCCAATCACTTTTGGTACGACAAGAAAGAAAATGAAGTTTTGAGCTCCTAAACTCTTAGATCTAACAATCGAAAACTTGAATAGTATATATTTCTTCAAGCACACCATGCTCCAGCAGAAGCATAGACCCTTTTGGCTTGGAAAAATATGAGTATCAGGGTGGGTCCGTACAAAGTGTTGACCTTCTTTAAACTTAATGTCAAAAACCCCAATGATGTCCTTCGAATCCATTTTGATCCCTAATTATGAATTTAAAAGCTCAAATAATAGTAAATAATTGAATAGATCCAAATAATACTTTACAGGATGGATTATTGTTAAGACTAGAAATTTCTTTTTTTCTGTCATGTCAAGGTCAAGATGATACAATGAATAGATTTTCCGGCATCAAAACAACCTTTTCCGCTAGATTCTTGAGTTAGAATGAACTTTATACCTTGGCTGACTGCATGTGTGAACTTCTTGCTGTTCAAATGCCCCAGGACAGACAATATGAAGATTATGCAGTTAGGAGTTCAGATAAATGGTACAAATTCCTTATGAAACAACAAAATTAATCAATTTTACTATTATCCCCTAAAAACCAAGTTCACTTATATGAATAAATTATACAATAGGCAGAGAGCCGAACCAGGGTGCATTCTAACCAAAGCAAAGCTGCAGCACCTGGCTCTACAACTGAATATCCAGTCATCAATGTTAATAGAGGGTCATTCCACAATAATTAATATATTATTACAAAAAACACTCAATACAGAAACACAAAAATCAAACCCTCTAAGCCTTCTAAGATAGAATACAGTCTAGATGGGTCTTACCAACCATGAGAGAGAGAGAGAGAGAGAGAGAGAGAGTAGTAGAGAAGAGCGACGTCTCGTCGTCTCTATCGAGAACGAAGTATCGACCACGAAGAGACGACACGTCGGTCGTGGTGGTGTACTAGTTCGTTCCGT